GGTTTACAGATAGTGAATGTCGACGACTACATCAAATCACTTGCATTTGTATAAAAATACTGGACGATGTTCAGCATTGAGGAATACGCTCAAGATGGTATGCATGGAACATTCTTAGTTGGCCAGTTTTATGGTTACCAAGATTTCAGAGGTGTGCTGAAAAACTACGCGAAAAAAGACTCAAGCAATTCAACTCGCGACGAGATCTTGAGGACGTAGTGCGAGAAACGGTGAGTTGTTTGATTTCTCAGAGGACAATTGAGCCAATTTGGGCACCTGGGTTATGACAGGAAAACTGATGGTTTTGTAACTTTATACTGCTCAAAATGATCCATCCATGGCCAAAAGGTTTGATTTCAAGTCTGTTCTGAAGCCTAGTCAACAAAGTTGCGTTCGCATGCTTTTCCGCGAGCACCATCACGACTCTCCCCTGTTCTTTCCAATCATTCGCAATCCGTGTGCCCGGACAAGCCTAGACATTATCTTTGAAAGCGAAAAAAATATGATACTCTTTGTTTCACTTGGAGTGAGAACGATCCAAACTGTTTGGGTCTCGCGCGGCTCCTTGCCTGGACCGTGGGCTGTGTTTGCGGAGCGTCTGATTTTCCCTCGCCTGAGCGAAGAGAAAGCTCAGGCAAGGGAAGATCAGAAGCGAGCTTCAGTCGTTAATTAGCAGTGGGGAAATTTTCAGTCAAATGCTGCACCGAGTCCAGGGGAAGCGGCCGTCCTTGTGAACCGCTCGAATCAGGCTCATTCCAAATGAGACGGAGAGTCACGATGTTGAACGTTAAAGCCAGTGGCCATGCATCTGTGTTGTCCCCGTTACCATTTTCATCTTTCACATTTTGTCCTTAAAGGGTGAAGAGATGAAGTCAGAATTTGCCGACTATGATCCTGACAGGTTGTTGGAGCTTTACGAGTCAATCACTAAAGCCCTTCTCCAAGAAGGTCAGTCATTTGGCGCCTTTTCAGACTGTTTGCAATTCGTTTCCATGATATAGAATATGACGACATGCAAAGAATGGAAGATGAGCAGTTAGCAGCAGACGTGGAGGAGTTTCTAAACCCACCAGTTTATTGTCCCTCCTGCTTGCGCTCACCATTGACCGTAGACAGGCGATCAGCCGCATGCCAGGTAGGGAAGCCAAAGGCAGTTTTCGGGCAAAGAGTCGATTTAGAGATTTTTTTTCGTGTTTATCCGGACCTTTTGGCTAT